TGTTGGTCAGGCTGGTCTTGAACTCCCAACCTCAGGTGATCTCCCCTCCTTGGCCTCCCAAAGTGCTGTGATTACAGGTGTGAGCCACCACGCCCAGCCAGTCTTTTGTTTTTGTTTTTATTTTGAGAGGGAATCTTGTTCTATCACCTAGACTGGAATGCAGCGATGCAATCTCGGCTCACTGCAACCTCTGCCTCCTGGGTTCACACAATTCTCCTGCTTCAGCCTCCCAAGCAGCTGGGATTACAGATGTGCGCCACCACGCCTGGCTAAGTTTTGTATTTTTAGTAGAGATGGGGTTTCACCATGTTTGCCAGGCTGGTCTCGAACTCCTGACCTCAAATGATCCACCTGCCTTGGCCTCCCATATTGCTGGGATTACAGGTGTGAGCCACCACGAGCTCTGGTTTTTCATCTGAAGGTGTGCTGGCGTCACTCTGGGGGGTTGTCGCCCTGTCTGCCTGCTGGCTCTGTACAGCCTCAGCTTCTCTTTCCCCCACTCCTAGGTGATGGTGAGCAACCCCTACTCCCTGGGGTTCCAGGCCACCTTCTATGAGAGCGGTCACACGTTAGACGGGAACACCAAGTACAATCTGGTGAGCTATGTCCCCACCAAACCTGGCCGAGTGTCCCTTGAGGGCCCCCTCTTCCTCCTTCCCTTACCAGCATAAAGAGCTGAGGAATTTTCAGGGGACACAGGCCCTAGCCCTTCCCCGTGGTGGGAAGATGATCAGGCAGATGTCACCCATGCACTTGACCTCATTAAAGTGTCACACGGGTCAGGTACAGTTGCTCACACCTGCAATCCCAGCACTTTGGGAGGCCGAGGTGGGCAGATCATGAGGTGAAGAGTTTGAGATCCATCTGACCAACATAGAGAAACCCCGTCTCTACTAAAAATACAAAAATTAGTCAGGCGTGGTGGTGCATGCCTTTGATCCCAGCTACTCAGGAGGCTGAGGCAGGAGAATCGCTTGTACCCGGGAGGCGAGGTTGCAGTGACCTGAGATCGTGCCACTGCACTCCAGCCTGGGCGACAGAGTGAGAAACCATTTCAATCAATCAATCAATCAATCAGTAAGTGTCACATGGGAGATTCCTGGATGGCATGACAGGGAGGAGCCCAACACAGCCCAGGGCAGGGCTGGAGATCTGAGTTAGCTGAGTAAACTGAGGCATGAGGATTCAGAGGGGGCAGTTTCCATAGGTCAGGGGCCTGACCAGGTACAAGTCGGTAACAGCAGACTCCTTTGACTAGGCTCATCACATCACATCCAGGTGAGCGAGGAAAACAGGCACTCCTCACTGTGGGTCCCCAGAACTCAGGGAACAAGGGAATGGGAGCCGTCATACTGGGGCCGTTGTTTCTGTGAGCTCCCAGAAGCCTTTCACAGATGGTGGGATTAGAACGGAGCAGGGCTGGGCTGGTCGTGGTGATTCATGCCTGTAATCCCAGCACTTTGGAAGGCTGAGGTGGGCGGATCGGCTGAGGTCAGGAGTTGGAGACCAGCCTGGGCAACATGGTGAAAGCCCATCTCTACTTAAACATACAAAACTAGCTGGGCATGACAGCACTCACCTGTAGTCCCAGCTACTCGGGAGGATGAGGCAGGAGAATCGCTTGAACCTGGGAGATGGAGGTTGTAGTGAGCCAGGATCATGCCGTTGCACTCTAGCTGGGTGACAGAGCAAGACTCCATCTAAAAAAATGAAGGAACAGAGTGGGCTAAGCGGCTCCCAGGTTCATCCCCCCCATGTCCCCTCTGACATCCCATCTCTCCCACCGTCCTGAGTTAAGGGATGCCCATGGTGTTCCACGGATGCACTGGGGATTTTCTCTCTTGACCCTACAGGATATTTGCCTAAAACAGCAGCAGCACTGGGGCAGGACCAACCCCAACTTCACTTCCAGGTATGCTGTCTCCTGGACAGAGGTGGGGACCGGGCTGCGTACGGGGGTTCCCTTAGCAGGAGGGAAGAGAAGCAGGGCTGAGATCAGACCCCCAGCTCCAGAACAGTGAAACAAGAGGATTCAAACACTTTATAAGAGCCAGGTGAGGTGGCTCATGCCTGTAATCCCAGCACTCTGGGAGGCCAAGGTGGGCGGATCACCTGAGGCCAGGAGTTTGAGACCAGCCTGGCCAACATGTTGAAACCCCGTCTCTACTAAAAATACAAAAATGAGTTGGATATGGTGGCAGGTGCCTGTAATCCCAGCTACTCAGGAGGCCGAGGCATGAGAATGGCTTGAACCTGGGAGGCGGACGTTGCACTGAGCCCAGACCGTGCCACTGCACTCCAGCCTGGGTGACACCGTGAGACTCCATCTCAACAACAATAACAACAACAAAAACACTTTACAAGTGGCCCCTCAAAACACTTAAACACAGCATTACCATCTGCTCTAACAAACCCACTGCCATCCATCCCAAAAGAATAGAAAGCAGGAACTCAGGGAGGTATTTGCACACCTGTGCTCACAGCAGCACGATTCACAACAGCCAAAAGGCAAAGTCAACCGACGGGTCCATCCGCAGACAAAAAGATAAACACAGTGTGATCCACCTGCATGGCGGAATATGACTCAGCCTTAAGAAGGGAGGGAGGCCGGGCGCCGTGGCTCACACCTGTAATCCCAGCACTCTGGGAGGTCAAGGTGGGTGGATCATCTGAGGTCAGGAGTTCAAGACCGGCCTGGCCAAGATGGTGAAACCCTGTCTCTACTAACAATACAAAAGAGTTGCTTTTTCGTCTGGGCCGCCAGCATGCCATCCAGACTGAGGAAGACCCGGAAACTTCGGGGCCACGTGAGCCACGGCCACGGCCGCATCGGCAAGCACCGGAAGCACCCTGGAGGCCGTGGTAATGCCGGTGGCATGCTTCACCACAGGATCAACTTCGACAAATACCACCCAGGTTACTTTGGGAAAGTTGGTATGAGGCATTACCACTTAAAGAGGAACCAGAGCTTCTGCCCAACTGTCAACCTTGACAAATTGTGGACTTTGGTTAGTGAGCAGACACGGGTGAATGCTGCTAAAAACAAGACTGGGGCTGCTCCCATCATTGATGTGGTGCGATCAG